AATAAAGAAAAAAACTAAATTAAACTGTTTCAAGACCAAATAGTCACTGAAGTCATTTTCATTTTCTCACAGGAAAACAAGTCTCCAGATGCCCCCGATGGTATCATAAATTTATCTAAAAATTTCTGTTTGGTTGAAAACCCTGTGGAGTGGGAGTTTGGGTCAGGAGAGGGAGAGAAGTAGACAGGGAGGAAAGACAAGGATTTTACGCATGGAGTTGATAGGATCTCCACTTTGGGTGAAGCGAGCTGGATTTAGGAATCACAGATCTGAACACTCTGTGACTGTGTCCTAATTCAGGACTAGGCAATCTGTGGTTGGCCAGCTAGATCTCACCCCCTAGCAACTTTTACACAGCCTGCCAGCTAAGAATGGGTGCTGCATTTGTGATGTTTGGAAAAATAATATATGATACAGGAACATGCATGAAACTCACCCCTTCAATGTCCATGAATACAGTTTTATTGGAATATAGCCACCACCATTTGTCTACAAATTATCTATGGGTATGCTCACACAGCAATGGCAGGGTTAAGTAGTAGTTGCAATAGTGACTTTATGGCCACAAAATTGAAAATATTTACTATTGATCCCTTTACAGAAAATAGTTGCCAGCTCCTGGCCTAGGTATTCATTACAATCGGAGAGGTCATTTACCCTTGGACTTTGAGAACAGGACTTTGAGAACACCGTGCACCCTTGTATCCTCAGCACCTATTCCAGTGCCCTCATAGAATGGATGCAAATGAAGCAAAGATTGAATAGACTGGAGAAATAAGTTTTCCCATGTTTTTACTTTTCTTTTAGAAGATAAAGGTGGAGTTACTAAGACTTCCTCCCCAGATGTAAACCATTTACTTGTTATATTTTGGAGATCTTTGAAGCTGCCACTCCTATAAATAGGCCCAGAGTGCCAGAGCCTGATGATTTGATGTGATTCAGGATTACCACTTTTATCAATGCTGTATGAAACTCCAATGGGAGGTAGACACTGTAAACATTTCATCAGGACATGCTCAACTGTGCAGATGGTTAAGCTTACAGGAGAGTTTCCTAATACCTTACATACTCCATCATTAGCTTGGGTTACTCAAACCTGTAGCATTGAGAAGCTGGAGAATGAAGACCCAATGTGCGAATATTTAACTTTAAGCCATTTGAAAAAAAGAAGTGCAATGTCCTGAAATTGTTTTCCAACTGTTGTGGTCTGAATGTCCACCAAAATTTTTGTGTTGAAACTTAATTGTGAATGTGATAATATTAAGAGGCAAAAATACCTTTACGAAGTAAGTCATGAAAGCTTCATGAATGGGATTAGAGTCCTTACAAGAGAACTTGAGGGAGTAGGTTTACCCTTCCAAAAGAGAACAGCATCCATCCCCTCCAGATGACATGGCAGCAAGGCACCATCTTAGAAGCAGAGGTCAGTCCTCACTAAACAACAAATCTGAGGGCATCCTGATGTTGCACTCCCCAGAATCTAGGTTTGTGAAAAATAAATTTCTATTGCTTGTAAATCACCCAGTCTGTGAAATTAACCACACAGGCAAAGACATCATCCTTCCCTAGTAAGTTTAATTCCGTTGAGGCATTTAGTGAAGCATGACATTAAAAATAGGTTAAGGCATTTCTGACCCCA